ACATGTGCCCCAGAGAGCACTGAGAGCAGGGTCGCCACATCGTTTGACCCTCCCTGGTCCGAAAGAAGCCAGGCTGAACATCACCAGAACCAGGGCCTTTGCAGTGGCGGCTCCACACTGGTGGAATGAGCTCTGGGAGGACATCAGGGCCCTGCGGGACCTTTTAGAGTTCCGCAGGGCCTGCAAGACGGAGCTCTTCCACCAGGCTTTCGATTAGGGGCTGCCACTGATGAATGTGCCCTGGAACATCTTCTGCCTGAAATCTAGAACATCTCTCTGGCCTGAGACCTCGCTGGATGCTACTCCTATCATTAGATGTGATTTGGGTTATCGCCATCATCTGTCAGTTTTAGGTGTGAATCATTGCTGTTTTTAACTTGGTACTGTATTTATTAATTGTTTCAATCCCCGTATCGTTTACGTTACCTTAACTTTGTTAGCCGCCTCGAGCCAACGTGCCCGGCAAGGCAAGATACAAACAGAAACAATAAATAAATAAATAAATAAATAAAATTATCCAACTCTGCCCATGGTGTATGGTGGCTCCCCATGGTGTCCATCTGTTTCTTGGGTTTTGCTGCTGGCCTGGAATGGCAAAATCAGTGGTACTGCCACTGTGAGCAGTACATACACACATAAGTGCCATCAAGTTTCAAATGACTTATGGTGACCCCAGAAAGGGGCTTTCAAGGCAAGTGAGAAGCAGAGGTGGCTGGCCATCGCCTTCCTCCGCACAGCCTTCCTTGGTGGTCTCTCAACCGAGACTCATGGTGACCCCAGCAAGGGGCTTTCAAGGCAAGGTGGATGGCCAGCGGCTTCCCCTGCACAGCCTTCCTTGGTGGTCTCTCAACCAAGACTTATGGTGACCCCAGCAAAGGGCTTTCAAGGCAAGTGAGAAGCAGAGGTGGTTGGCCATTGCCTTCCTCTGCACAGCCTTCCTTGGTGGTCTCTCAACCGAGACTCATGGTGACCCCACAAGGGGCTTTCAAGGCAAGTGAGAAGCAGAGGTGGTTTGCCACTGCCTTCCTCTGCACAGCCTTCCTTGGTGGTCTCTCAACCGAGACTCATGGTGACCCCAGCAAGGGGCTTTCAAGGCAAGTGAGAAGCAGAGGTGGTTGGCCATTGCCTTCCTCTACAGAGCCTTCCTTGGTGGTCTCCCTTTCAAGTACCAACCCTGCTTAGCTTCCAGCTTCTGGTGACCCCAGCAAAGGGCTTTCAAGGCAAGTGAGAAGCAGAGGTGGTTGGCCATTGCCTTCCTCTGCACAGCCTTCCTTGGTGGTCTCTCAACCGAGACTCATGGTGACCCCAGCAAGGGGCTTTCAAGGCAAGTGAGAAGCAGAGGTGGTTTGCCACTGCCTTCCTCTGCACAGCCTTCCTTGGTGGTCTCTCAACCAAGACTCATGGTGACTTCAGCAAGGGGCTTTCAAGGCAAGTGAGAAGCAGAAGTGGTTGGCCATTGCCTTCCTCTACAGAGCCTTCCTTGGTAGTCTCCCTTTCAAGTACCAACCCTGCTTAGCTTCCAGCTTCTGGTGACCTCAGCAAAGGACTTTCAAGGCAAGTGAGAAGCAGAGGTGGATTGCCATTGCCTGCCTCTGAAGAGTCTTCCTTGGTGGTCTCCCATCCAAGTACCGACTCTGCTTTGTTTCCAAGATCTGATGAGATCGGGCTACACTGTACTGTACTGCATTTCCTTTTCTCCATGAGTGGTCGTTTCTTATTTATCTTAGTGGGTCTCAACTTGCACAAGTTTTCCAAGGGAGGAAAAGTCTGGGACTCTTGTAGTTAGGAGAAAAGAGGACTGAGTGGTGGTGGTAAAACAGAGGCTTACAAAATTTTTAAAAAATGTCTAGGGAGAGTGGACAGAGAGAGCGATTTCATCATGATAACAGGACTGAAGACTGGCCAACAAAACCCACCGGATGTTGGTTCAAAACAGGCAAAAAGAAGTCCCTTTTAGGACTGTATTATCGTGTAGCTAGGAGTGCCAGCCTCCAGGTGGGTCAAGTAATGAATAAATATACACTGCAAGAAAGTTTTGTAAATTAACGTGTTCTGTTTATACCTATCATTCTACAAAGTGCATCATGTGCTATTACAACATCCTAGTCAGTTACATTCAGCGGTCATTTCCTGCAGGAGCGCACAGGAGCGGAGCTCTGGCAGCAAAGAGCCCAGGGGGCGGGCACATGCAACAAGCCCCACCTCCTGCTCCCAGCAGCCCTCAGTCAGAGCAAGAAGCAGCCAGGTAAGTTGCAGAGCCCCCCACCCCACCCGCCCGGTCCAAAACAGTCCAGTGGCACCTTTAAGACCAGGTTTAATTCAGGTACAACGAGAGGACAGATCCGCCGGGCCCCCCCCCCCCAAATCACTAGCAATCCAAAACAGTCCAGTGGAGCCTGAGCGGTGGGTGTTGCCTTCTGACACACTTCCGGTGATGTCAGGGGGTGTGGCATATGCAAATAAGTTATGCTAATGAGTTATGCTAATGGGTTATGCTAATGAGCTCCTGCACCTCTTTTTCTACGAAATGACCCCTGGTTACGTATATTCAGTACATTCAGTATAACATTCAGTTCATACAATTTCACAACTGGTAGTCCCTTTTGCACCAGTATTTTAAAAGAGTCAAACCCCAATGGGAGTTTCCAGAATTACAAGCCATCCATTTCATTTATTAGCTTCATTGACCCGAGGTCTTAAGCCAAACATACAAACAGCAACTATAAAATGCATTACATATATAATTTAGACCAAACGTCTTTACAATAAAAGCTAGTAAACATACTCTCGAACAGTATTATCAGACCACATTTTATAAACGTCAATGAATTCTATAAAATCCCATGATATTATGGAAATTAGTTTTAAAATTTTAAAGTTATATACATAAAACTACTTATAACATTTCAAAGCCGCTTTAAAAATAACACTATCGAAAGATATTTTGCCACCAAGCGAGTCGTTTCAGGATCCTCATCTGCTAGCAGTATGGTTATCACCCAGGGTTCCACAGGAAGGTGATGTCTTTGTAAAATAGGAGTAATCCAACAGGATCTGGGGTCAATCCACTGGTGGCAAAATAACATAAGATGATCTAAGGTCTCTATTGCACCTGATCCACAATCACACAATCTGAGTACTGTATTTTAGCAAAACGGCCACTTAGCTCTACAGTTGGAAAAACATTCAACCTAGCAAGTGTGAAGACATATCTAGATCTAGGGGATGTAAAGGTTCCTTTGCTCGAAAGCCAGTCGAATCCGACTCTAGGGTTGCGGTGCTCATCTCCGTTTCAAAGCCGAAGAGCCAGCGCTGTCCGAAGACGTTTCCGTGGTCATGTGGCCGGCATGACTAAACACCAAGGCGCACGGAACGCTGTTACCTTCCCACCAAAGTGGTACCTATTTATCTACTTGCAATTTCTTGCTTTCGAACTGCTAGGTTGGCAGGAGCTGGAACTAGAGATGGGAGCTCACTCCATCATGCGGCACCCGGGTCTCGAACTGCTGAACTAAGGAAGCTCATATATGAGGGAATTTTCTTAGGTGGCACACTCCCTAAGGCAGAGTTGGAGCATACTCGCCTAGCACAAGTTGAAGTGCTAAGTCGGTCAATGTTTGTCACCCTCAGCCTCATCAAATTTAGCACTTCTTGATAGTTTGAATTGTTAAGCACTGTAGGGGTGAGAACAATCCTCTCCAGCTTGTTATCTATATGTTTTGCCCACGTACATTTATAATTATCCCCCTTTAAAAGATAAAGAAGACCTCCTTGAGCATTAGGTATCATATAAAGAACTTTCAGTCTTAATTTAAAGGCTGCCTTCCAGGCTCTTGACTCAAAGGAGCATTGTGCGAATTCTTCTCTAAGTGGCGTCCCTGCAACACATTTAGGGACCCCTGCAATTTTATGCAGGAACTGGAGAAGGATCTGATCTGATAATTCAGAAATTTCTTTAATCCAGAGAGCAGCCCCATATAAAAAATGGGAAGTAACTTTCGCATTAAAAGCTGCAACAACCAAACTGGCCGCCTCTTGAATAATAGAATTTAAGGAGGGCATTAGAATTTGATTTAGCGCTTTCAGTTGCTGCTCTTATATGATGTTTCCAACTCGACTGGAGCTGAACACTATCCCCAGATATTTGAAATGAGACACTTGTTCTATCTCCCCACCCTTAACCTTCCATAATCTTTGTTTTAAACAAGGTTTATTTTTGATTTTACAAGCCCACTTCTACTTGGATGAAGTCTTCCAAAAGGGGTGGGGGGAAGCTTTCACTTATAGTTGTGTTGATGCTTATTGCCGGTCCTACAAAAGACACTCTGTGCAGCTAAAATGCATGGATCTTAGGCTGCCATGAATCTGTCCATGAATCTTAGCTGCAAGCAAGGGTCATTTCCTGAGGGAGCACACAGGAGTGGAGCTCCAGCAGTAAGGAGCCCAGAGGGTGGGCAGATGCAACAAGCCCTGCCTCCTGCTCCCAGAAGCCCTCAGTCAGGCCATGAGGAGCAAGAAGCAGCCAGGTAAGTTGCAGAGCCCCCCCGCCCGCCTTCAGGCACAAGCTCTCCCTCCTCTGCGAGGACAGATCTGCACACACACCCCCATAGCTAGCAATCCAAAACAGTCCAGTGGCACCTTTAAGGCCAAGGTTTATTCAGGTACAAGCTCTCCCTCCTTTATGAGGGTATATCTGCGTGTTCCCCCCCCCATAGCTAACAATCCAAAACAGTCCAGTGGTACCTTTAAGGCCAAGGTTTATTCAGGTACAAGCTCTCCCTCCTCTGTGAGGGCAGATCTGCATGTCCCGCCCCCCCTATAGCTAGCAATCCAAAACAGTCCAGTGGAGCCTGAGCGGTGGGTGTTGCCTTCTGACACACTTCCAGTGATGTCAGGGGTTGTGGCATATGCAAATAAGTTATGCTAATGAGCTCCTGCACCTCTTTTTCTACGAAATGACCCCTGGCTGCGAGGATGTTGTGAGGATAACACGGAGGAGACGAGAAAGACGTAAACCGCCCTTGTGGGAGGAAGGTAGCAGCTTGCGGCTGATGGATCAGTTAGATCTGTACGCGTCTCAAGGGAGGACGGAACCGGGGCCGGGGGCCACCCCTGCGTTCTTGGCTTCTTACCTCAATGCACCGGGCTGTTCTAGGCTGTCAGAGTTATT